GAACCCCCCACCTCATAGTTGGCAGCCCAACACCTACCCCACAGCACCACCAGGGCCCCTTCACACACACACTAACTGCAAGGCCGGTTTTCGTACTTCAGCCTCCATCAGAAGCTGGTTTGGAACATGGTCCTGGGTGCAGGGCTTGTGTGGACTATGTTCTTGGCAAACATTTCTAAACTTCCACAGATCTCAGGGGCCAGGAGGAGGAAGAAGAGATTGGAACTCCTTATCAGTTTTCTTGGGAGACTGTTTGTTAATGGAGTTGTCCAAACTGATCCTAGAGTATGTTTTAGGGCTAAATTCTCTCAAGGTCCACAGCTATAAAGCAAGGATGCCGCACCTGCCCTTCAGTATCCGGGCGCAGTGCACAGGAAGCACGTGGCACGTGAGCTGGTGCTGCCTATGAACACGCTTCTGTCTGCAGCCTCCTGTCCTCTGCCCAGCTTGACCAGCACTTCAGAGCTGCTAAAGACAATATGCAAAAAGATGCCCCTGGGCCTAATGAATCCCACCTACTCCAGTAGCCAGGCCTATGGGAAAAACACCCGATTCCATTCCTGAAGGTGCTGCCTAGAAATCATTAACTCCAAATCAATCATGATTCAAATTAGTCAACATGCATGACTATAGCAAATAATCCTTGAGGTCATTCTGAATCAGTCACCCCTATGGTCAGCTAAGTCAGTCATGTGGTTGACTAGGCCAGGAATGGGACACTGAAGAGGAACGGCAGCACATTCATCCTGAAACACAACGCTGTGAGGGAGGGAGGATAACTTCCAAATTCTAGAACCAATACTGCTTAATATGACTGTTGTTCAAACTTCACAATTTGGTGCCAGAAATAAAACCACAGATCACATGATAGAATGTTCCAAGACCAATAACGTGTTCATTGTAAATGCCTATCTAAACAACACAAACAGTGACATGCACCTCACCAGAGAGAGCCCACAGGAATCAAGGTGACTGACATCTTTGGAAAGAGGTAATGGGCAAGCTCAGAAGAACAATGCCAGGAGTCAATGATGCAAGAGACTGCTAACTGCTCACATACAAGATTAAGTTGAAGCTGCAGAAAATTCAAGTAAGTTCAGAAGAACTGAAGTACAGCCTGGGGTCAACCCCACCAGAATGTAGAGACCATCTCCAAGAACTGATTTGACACAAATGGATCAGATGGATTGTGGATGAAGCAGAGAATACCAGAAAGATGTTTGCCTGTGTTTTACTGACTATGCAAAGGCATTTACGTGGATCACAATACGAGGGTACCTCCCCCAAATAACACACAATCCCTCCCCCCAAAGCTAGTCACTGTTCTTTTGTGTCTCCATTTGCAGAAACAAAAAGTGGCACACTGTTACACAATCTTTTCAGAACCTCTAAATAGAAAGCTTGATCAACAGTCTGACCTGGTGGAATGAACTCCAAATGCACTACATTTTGACTGGTTCAGGAAGTGACAGACGTCCAAAATGAGGTTTGCCATCAGTCAACATTTCACCTTTTTTTTTTGCAATGAGAAAACCACTTGTACGGTGGTTTTCCATAGCACTGTCCTTGTAAGCTGTGTCCAACATCACAACAGTTTCTGCGGCATTTTTCCTGAGCAGCAAACAAAATTTCACAGCTGCATGCTGTTCTCTTAAATTGGCCATCACAAAAAACAAGGTTCGAGAGGAACAGCTTTTAGGAAAATATTCACTGTGACCACAGAAAACCTTCCCAGGTGACACCACTGGGCACACTAACTCAAAACAAGTTGCTTGATACTTGCCTAGCAGGAAAAATGCATACTATGTGAAAACTCCACTCCACCCAGCAGAATTCCGGGGTTTGAGGGGGTATCACCTTGTATATTTTGGTTCACCTGTGAATGCTTCGTTGTGCTCCTGTGGAATCTACACACAGGCCAAGAGCAGTCAGTCAAACAAGAGCAGGAAACCGCCAGGTTTAAAATCAGGAGCGCTACCCTTTCACCACACCTATTCCATCTGGAAGGAGAGGAAGTAACCTGAGTAACTGGGGTCTATGAGAAAAAAATACAGCATCAAATTCAGAAGAAACAGCCTGTGATGTGCAGATGGCACCACAGTTTGTCGAAAGCAAAGAGTCCTTGAAGCACTTAGAGTTGAACACTAAATACTACAGCATTCTGTATGAATTACAACTCAACACAGAACACAGGTCCTCACAGTGAGACCAATGAGCACCATCATTATAAACTGATTGACGTGATCAAGAATTTCCTTTTGTTTGGGTCCACAATCAACAGCAGTGGAAGCAGCAATCAAGAAAG